GACTTCAGTGTTGGCGGCGACTTTATAGAATATCACGACCAGGACTGACGTGGTAGCCTGTCCTTACCTCCCTATCATGTCGCTTTCCTTAATTCCTCCTTTTATTAAATACTCAGGCCTTTAAGAACATTTTACTGGGGGTAATATTGCTCCCAAGGGGACAAAAATTGGGGAATGAAAAATCTTAACTCCTTTGATGTGAAAAGCAGAGACACATACCACACGTGACTGATATGCACTGTGTTCGCGGTCTTACAATTTCTTTTGGAGGGTGATCAGGAAAACGTCTAAAAGGTTTCCTTGGGGGGAAGCAATAATGCAAAAAGGATGAACATGGGCTAGTGTTTAGTGCAAGTCACAGTGAATAATCCCGTGGCGCAGTGGCTGAGCGTGCGTCACATGCACACGCAACGCGGCTGCAATGAAAAATGTCAATCGTGATAGTATTTGCTCTCCAGCCTTCTTTCCTTTCTTCGTAGACCAGCATTTCTTAAATTGGAGTCTGCAGGCCTCTGAGGGATCTGCATATATGTTTTCAGACACATCTGAGAATTGCTTCCAAAATGTGTTGTTTGGTTTTGTGCTTTATTTTGATGAGCTTCAAAGGAAGAAATGCTGGTCCCTGGAGTGCAGCCGTGTGATTTCACGGTCCAGGTTGGTGCTGCCCTTCAAGGCAGGGGCTCTGCTTTAGTGCTTGTGGGCGGGCCAGCAAGGAATCAAGTGAGAGCCTGGGGAATGGGAAGGAGTCGCCAGAACAAGTGAAGCACAGTGGCGAGTCCTCCTGTCCTGGGGGTAAGGTCGCCGAGTTGGGACTGGGGAGAGTGGTGGCATCTTGAGTCCTCCGAGGGTCTGGACCGCGTGGACCTGCCTCACCAAGAGAGCACAGTCCCAGCAGCTAGCCCTGTACTTGCGTTTTCAAAGGCAATTCAATCTCAGCAAAATAACGTCACCGGCCATGTTCAATTAGCACCATAATTTGAATTTTATTGTTTTTGTGTTCAATTTGTTATTTTGTTTTGATTCCATTGTTGAAACAGGGCTAAAGCATATGGAATATATTTCTAGGTTTCTGTTTGTGCACCACTAAGTAACAATATAATAAAATAATTTAAGTCTCTATGCAAGTGGTGCACAGTAACGCTCTTTACCCCATTAAGAAAGTCATGCTTTGTTTGGGTTGGAGGAATGCGCAGACTATTTGAGCTGCTGGGAATCCCTTAGTGCAATCATCTTTCATACTTTATGGGCTCACTGAGACTTCTGGAGAAGAGATGAAGGTCCAAGGTCAAAAAGCAAGGAAGTAGCAGACTGAGGTCACAGATGAGACTGGCACTTTCTTTTGTTTTAAAGCATTTTTTTTAAAGATTTATTTATGCATACAAGAACTGGGGTGCAGGCCAGAGGTGTGGGGGGTGAGAGGATTCACCAGAGACAGAGTGGGGAGCAGAAGAGGCGGATCTACTGAAATACACTCTGAGGGGAGCAGCGGGGAGAGCATCCCATGTGGGATGCTCCCTGGCTGACCGGGGGATCAAACTTATGCTGCAGAGGGTGAGGATAGCTTCATAGGTTGCGTCTCACCCCCAGGGAGGCCTCCTAGACTGGTATTTTCAATGTCCAGCATGTCATCCCCCTCCAAAGGTGAATCACAGCAGATAAATGGTGACCACCTCCAGGCTACGAAAGTGGGCTGGACCCAAGGAAGGGTGAGTTACTGCCTTGCTAATGCGGAGGGAGGAGGATGGGACATGGACAGGGAAGAGGGACTAACAGACTTTTTTCTGAGCTGTGAGTCACAACGAGCAATAGCCAGGAGTGAGAGGAAACAGCCACTGGTGCTACCTCATGAACTTGGATGTCCCATTACTCTCAACGTAAGCAAACAAAACCCCGAAGATCTTGCAATGGAGGCTCATTTTGCTTTTCTGCTCTGCAGTGAGACTGTAAACCCATGCCTATCTGGGGTCTGCACGACTGCACGGGGGTGTAGAGGGGAGGTGGGGGTTGTCTGTTGCAATACACTGGTCCCTGCCCCTGTATGAGTTTGCTGCTCACTGTGGAGTGATGGGGTTCATGGGTGAGATCACTGGCTGGTCCTTACAGAGTCTGCTGTTGCCTTCATAACAAATTGCTACAAACTTAGCAGCAACTTAACACCAGATGCTTTTATTATCTCATGGGTTCCATGGCCAGCGTGCTGGCCTGGGTTAGCTAAGGGTTTGTTCAGGGCCTCATGCTGCCATCAGGGCGCTGGCTGGGCCTTGGGTCCTCGTCCCTCTTGCAGGCTGCCAGCAGACATATTTTCTTGCAGCTGCAACACTGAAATCACTTGTTTCTTCAAAGCCCACGAGAGGAGTCTCTCTCCTCTATTCATTCTTTTAAATGGCTCCTCTATTTAGACAGCCCACTCAGGACCTTCTCGCCTGATTCTTTTAAAGCCAACTATGAGAGACTTTGATTACTTCAGCAAACTCCCCTCCCCATTGCCTGTGCTGGTGTGCATTTGCCATGAATTCTTGGCTGTGACATTTTGCTGCAAATATTGTCACCACACATCTAATTGGCTGAGAGGCGTTGTTGCTGGGAAAAAGAAAAGACAAATTCATAACAAATAAAAGTAGAGACATTCATATTAAAATGGACACACCGAAACATTAAAAAGTAGTAACAAAATTAGGAAGACTTCTTTTTTGGGTAAAATCTCTGCTGACATTAAGAGAGGTGTCAGTTTCCAAATAATAGGGTTGGGATGTTACTGGAACTTTGCGGTGTTGTGAAGGTCTTCTGCTCTGTAACTTCTTGGTGTCTCACCTGTCTTTTGACAGCTGTTCCAAGTTCTGCAGGAAAGGTGGGTTGTGCTGGGTGCCTTTGAGACCCTCAGCCTCTCTCCTCTAGTGTAGTGTGTTTCCAAATAAACCAAGTCTTGGAATAGATCATCTGCATCTATGAAACCATCAATAACGTTGCTAAGTGGAGGATATGATAATGTTCTAATGCATCTAATTTTCCTGTTAAATCCAGCATCTGTTGGGTAAATTTGGTAAAGACAGCATTAGAGAACTAACGCTTCTATCTAGATGAGCTAAGTTGATAAGTCATGTTCTCGAAGACTGTTGTGAATTACTACCAGCTTCTTTTATATTTGCCACAGTTTGGTCAACATTTGGTTTGGATGGTGTGGAGGGTGACTGTGTTCACCGAAGGATTTACAAACTGCTGTCTTATCCTTTACTAGATGGTATGAAATCTGACTTTTTGCACTGTCTTCCTTCACACTTCCATATTTTCTTTCAAGTCAATCTAAGAAGCTGTTCCCCTCAGTAACAGCTGAGGATCACGGCCTCCACTCACCACTTGTATCAACCACACTTGAAAGGAAACTGTCAACCAGTTATTTTATCCTGTGTGGCAACATTGCCTTCTGGCCTATTAGTTTTGCGATGAAAATATTTGTATTGAACATGTGCCTGGCAATACTGCCTGTGGCAAAGAATTTATGGCAAATCAACTGGACAAGACCATTGCTGAGTTCACAAGTTACAGCTTCTACCTGCTGCAAGGGGAACAAATGACGAAGGGCATGGACACTGGCTTCACCTGTTCCTGTTACTACCATAAAATAGCAGATGGGATGGTTTATAACAAATTAACTTCTCAGAATTCTGTAGGCTGTGAAGTCCAAGATCAAGGCACTTATAGATGTGGAGTCCAGTGAGAATCTGCTGCTTGGTCATAGGTGGTTCTTTTTCCTGTGTCCTTTCAGGATGGAAAGGCCAAGAGGGATGCCTGGGGTTTCTGTTAGAAAGACCCTGGCCCCATTCATGAGGACTCCCCTCTTATGTCCTGATCATCCCACAAAGACCTCACTTCCTAATATCATCACATTGAAGATTAGGTTTTAAGATCTAAGTTTTGGGTCCACAACATTCACCCTACATGATTTATCTTAGACTGTCTGCCCATCACCACCATTGGCACCTCCTTTGATGGTCAGTGAGTGTGTTTCATATTTGGAGACTTCCCAGAGACATTTGGAGGCTGTTCAGCAGTATGTATTTGTACCTATTAAAAGTTAGAAGAGTAGGGCCTTCCCTAGTGGCGCAGGTGGTTGAGCTCAGCATTGTGAAGCTGTCCGCAGCTTCTGCAGCGTAGGTTCAATCCCAGCCGGCCAGCGAGGGTCCCACAAGAACCAGGGTACAGACGTGATGCTCAGGAGGGTGAGAGGATTCACCAGAGACAGAGCAGGGAACAGAACAGGCAGACTGACGAAATACACTGCTGAATAGATGTAGCTGATATAAGATGATTTTTAACCTTGGCACTATGGACATTTTGTGTGGGGCTATTATGTGCATTTTAAGATGTTAAGTGCCATCCGTGCCTCTACCTGCTAGTTACACACCCTCCCCAGCTATGACAAATAAAGTTAATACCAGACACTATTAAATGTCCCTTGAGAGGAAAGCACCCCAGTTAAGAACAATTGCATTTGGAAACTGAAGTGCTTTATTGATTTTTGTCTTTGTTGTTGCTTGTTTTGTTTTTTTGAGAGAAGAAAAGATATAAAAAGGGAATTTTTTTAAGGTGATACAATTATTTGCTCCCAGCAGGTCCTTGCTCCCTGGATGATACCTCAGCCTTACATTTACTTTCACCCATTACTGTGAAATGTACAGCTTATAATTGCAAATAAAAATTTTATGTTACAGACTTGCTTCCCACATATATGTTCTGATTCACATGTGGGCCTAAGTGAGATTGCATTGTCATATTTGATCCTGTTTTACAAGCTTGCTGCATTTATAGTCAAGCCATATTAGAATGGGACTTCAGTTCTGCTCTGACATGGGTTTGATATTGCATGAGCCGCAAGATCTAACCCTCTCTGTTTTTGACATGTTGGCTTCTTTCTTGGAATCAAGTGATATGGCATGGTGTGGGACAGTCTGGAAGGCATGGTCCAGGTCTGAAATTAAAGAACTTATTTCTGTCTCCTCTAGGCAAAGGGAGCTCAAGCATCTCATCCGACGTGAGTTCAAGCACAGATCACACACCGACCCAAGCCCAGAAGAATGTGGCCACCAGTGAAGGTAGGCATCTGGTCTGAATTACCTCGCCTTGCTACTCAGCGATGGCTGTTTCTGGAAGACCAGCACAATGTGTGTCTTTGTTCTGATCTATCGAGTAGGAGCATATGAGATTCTTAAAAATGATAAGGCAAAGGGTGTCCCCTGTTTGCTTATTATTCATCACACTGCTGTGACTGTATACTAATGTTGTTTTTGGATGGGCTTTAATGTGTCAATAAAGACAAATGGTGTTACTTTGTGAAAATATAAGAGGCTGACTGCTGGACGTCTTTATGACACTAATATCTCTTGTTTTCAAGTGTGGAAAACATTGATTGTGAAATCCTTGTGCTGCAGGTGACAAGTCCTGTGTGAACCTTGAAAGTAGATGCACCAGGACTTCGGGATGTGACAATAGGGGCCGTCACAGTCACAGATTTGCAGAAATTAAACTAGCCCCCAGTATTTGGGAGTAGAGAAAGATTTGTTTGATGATTTAAAGAGTAAGAGTAAAGCCCTACTTCTCAGGGCAAAGATTGGTTGCAGTGATATTCTTGATGAAGAATTTGACTAGTGTATAAAAATCCCTATTGGAATTCAATTACTTCCCTATAGTTGAGACTTTTGCCTTATTATGTCTTTGATTGTGGACATGGTAGTTTCTGTGGGAGTGGAAAGTTGAACTGATTATAGAATTGGCTCCTTTTATTTTAATATTAAACACAGTTAAATGACTTCCTTTTTGAAGAATTCTTCCCAGTTGTTGAATGATGGTCCAATGTCAGACATCAGGGCCATTAGTGATCAAAGACTTGTTGGGAGGTGTCAGCTGATCTTCATGACACTGTAGTTTCCCTCCTAAAGTGTCAGGGGTGTTACAGAGGTATATTGCCTGTCTTTGTTTTGGGGGCTCCCTCTCTGGTGCTCATAATATGGGGAATCATATCCATGACCTGATTGAGTTTGGTCATATCAGCTGATCGATTGCTCTTGAACTGTGTTGTAGTTGACACATTAATGATGATGGTTTAGCTCTGCTGTGTATATCTTTTTTTGAGATATTTTTTGACTTGTGTTTTGTGTAGCATAAAATGATCTTCTCTGGGTTAATTATCAACAGATTGATGTAAAATAGCTTTTACAACTGCATTATATTCCCTTGTGTTGAATTCCTTGGCGATGTTTTACCAACATAGTAAGACAAACAGATTCAGGTGTTCTCCTGTGCAGTGAAGCACCAGGTACCTATCCAATTTTAATTTTCTGCCTGTTAATTCAAATATGGCATTAGATCATTCTTGAAATTCAGTTAAGGTAATGTGCAAATAGGGCAAATTGATTTGGAGGTTTTTCATTCTTGTGAGCCAGGGTGGAAATATTTCAATTTAATTTATTTATGATCCTTTCTACTCAGAAGTCTGTTTTGTAAGATAATCACTTCTTTCTGCCATTATTTTACAGTCAGTCTTGTCACAGTCTAATTTGAGAGGCTGTGAACATGGAAAGTTAAAAACATGTTAAATAATCTTTTCATTTTCTTGTCTGGATTTAAGCAGCCATATTATTTTTCCCTCCTTTTCAAAAACAGAAAACACAGAGCTATCTGAGCTGTGTTGCAGTGGCTGGGGGAAGGGGTGTTGGGACCCATGCATTTAAACATGTCTGCTTTACGCTTCCAAACAGTTCAACAGGGATTTTGGATTTCCATTTTATTTTGCCATTTCCTTCAGAAGGTTCTGTTGGTACAGACCCAGCCAGTATTTTATGCATTTTTTGTCACAGTGCATTTTCAATCATTTTGAGGATAAATTCAGGGGGGAAAATGACAAAATGTGGTGTTCATCTGAAACAGATTTTTAACAACTGGGCTAAATTAGTATGGAATTTTTCTCCAACTCTTGAAGTTGAAGGCCCCATTTAGGAAAGATACTATCCTTTTTTTTTTGCATACCTGAAAACTTAAGAGATGTCTTGTTTTGCTATTTGTTTGTATGAATCCATTTTTACTACTTGTTTTGTCAGTGATGAGTAAACCTATTAACGACTCAATTCATTGTGGGTATTAGTTACACTGAAATATATTTCAGACTGTTTGCTGCGTAATTGGTCTCACATCACCCACGAGGTCTCCAGATGGAGCACAACGGTCAGTGTAATCTTCCCGGCTCGCCAGGGACAGAGCCGCAGGGGGAGCCATCGGCACAGCACATTCTCTGGCCTCTGGGTGGCTGTGCCCCTGGCATCATGCCCCAGACAGCCCCGTATCCAATACGCTGGCAGAGGCGAGCAGGACACTGACGGCTCGCACATGCCACCCAGAAGCCAATTCAAAAGCGTTTGTCTGACTCTCTCCCACTGTTCTCTAGAACTGTGTTTAACCTTTGAAGTTAAGAAAATATTAGGCTTCCTGACAGCTGTTGATGATAGTTATTTTCTTCACTTCCATGGTCTTCTGATTTTTACCTCTGAATTCATCGATACTGTTTTCAAGAAGCACAGATAGGAACCTCCGTTGAAAGGGCTGAGTGATATTGATTTCTAAAATAATATATTGTGAAGGATAATACTCAGTTTTCCTGCAACCTTCTAAAATCGGGGCAATATCTGTAAATGCTGGACTTGAAGCATTTTCAAGCTGTGTTGGACGTGCTCCTGATGGGCTGGGTAGGGTGAGTGTGTGTGTGTGTATGTGTGTGTGTGTGTGTGTGTGTGAGAGAGAGAGAGAGAGAGAGGGAGAGAGAGAGAGCGAGAGCGTGTGTGAGAGCTGCACTCTACAACAGAGCATTGACTGCTACAGGTAACCAGGTATGCTGGTTCCAGGTAACCAGCAATGCAAAGTATCCCCTGAGGAGGTGGGGGTGGGGAAGGAATCTTGCTCTTAACTTGCAGGCAGTGGGGTTGTTAGGGGAAAAGGATGTCCTGAGTTAATTTCACACAGGCTTTGAGGATGCCGTCCCCTCTCCATCAAGACACTGGGAACTACAAATCCCATGATCCCCTAAGGAAAGTTGCAAGGACCTAAGGGCGGAGTTAAGCAGCCATTTTCTTATGCTTTGGTTTATAACCAGCTCTGTTAGGGGGGTTTCCGGGGGGTCTCTCTTTGCTCATGCTCTTGGCCAGGCAGATTTGGTCTCGGTGGGTCATTTGGAATTCCAGGTCAGCAGAATGGGTAGGACGCATTTAAAAATTTATCTCCCTCTTTTCTCCCTGAATTGTACATTTCCTCATTCCCCCTCCTTTGTAAATAAACCTTTGGTTAACCTTTTGTGTGTGCCTGCAGTGTAAGTCCCTTTTAAGTGTGCAGGTGAGGACCCACAGTCAGGCAACTCATTTTAAGTGCGGTTGCCCTGTAACAGGGTGGGGATTAACCATAAACAGAGCCATCTTCTTGAGGAGATGACCAAGCATCTCAAAGTAATAGCAGCTGCACAACTCAGTATCTTTACTGAAAATCTTAGAGTCGGGCTCATGGGCTGGTTCTAGAACTTGGCTCCTTATGTGTTCTGAGCTTGATGTCCCTCATCTAGAATATGAGGGATTTTGCTAAAATGATGGCTTATCCCATTCTATGATCCCACATGTTTTCACATTTTGCTGGCCACGCCTCTTTATTCACTGGCATGTTTTGAGTTACACAAAATTAAAGTAAAAGTAATTGACATTTAAAAAAAAAGGAGGAAGGAAGAAAGGAAAAGGGGTGTTGGGGAAGCATTTGCATCTGAAGGACCTTCTGACTGTGTCTAAGACATCACAAACTGTTCTTGGAGACTGCTGCCCCCCAGCTCTGTAGAGTCCTGGGCATGCAAGCGGACCTCTGAAGAGGATGAGTCTGGGCCAGGATGACATGCAGGGCTGCTGACAGAAAGCTTCTCCGGCCTTGGGGCCATCACTGCCAGTCTCTGGGCTCATGTTCATAGTCCAGTCGTGGTGTCCAGCACAGTTGACTCATCATAGTACATATTCTCCCTGAAGCTCTGGAGGACTGGAGAGACAGTAGGCCCATAGATTTCCCAAAAAGCTTAAAAAGCTTTCCTTTAGTATCCTGTAACCACAACTAAGATTTTAAGTATTGTACCTCTCCGTCCTAACAGTCAAGCCATCCCATTTATTCATGCTGGCTTGTCTATTTCTTCACTAAGGACTTGTGTCCTTGCTGTCTATATCTGATGTCCCAGCTAATCCACTTTGGGTCATAAGATGTTTCTGCTAAGCATGGCAGGCACAGCTGGTGATATAATTTGATTTTAATCTAAGAGAAAAAGGCATGTTTAACATGGTAATATTCTCTTCATGCCAATGTTTCCTGTATCTTCATTTTGTTCCCCTAAAACCACACCCCTTTTAAGGAACTGGCAGCCAGTGTGGCTTTCTTCCTGATAAGTGATAGAGGCTTTCTTTAAAGCCCATTATATTTCTTGTGACAGTTTAAGTTCCTGATTTCCTGACACTGTAGGGGGTTTGGGTTCAAGTGTAGAAAACTGGAAACTTTCCATTTTTCCCAACAAAATCTGCATTCCAACATCTTAAGCCACAGCTTAATTCTTTCCAGTTGCACTACTATTCTTCCTCTACCACTGTTGTGTTTTTTTGTTTTTTTGTTTTTTTTTTGTCTTTCTCAATCATGGAGTGTTCCTTCTTGTACTAGAAAGAGTGACCTTTGACATTTAGCTAGGAAAGGCACGTCCAACCCGTGATTAGAACAAGAGACACAGCAGCCAGCCTTGAGCAAAATCACTTGGATAGAGTCAGATTATGAAGCAGCTTCCCAGAAATCACAACTTAGGCTCAGGCGTCCTTCACAGAAGTAGGGGTGATGAAGATGTGGTTTTAGGGGTGCATCTCAACAATTCAGCCTTCTCCCTACCTAGTGAAAAGTGAAAGTTAGGTCTGATGAAAAGGCAAACTTTCTCCAGCGGCTCTTTAAACATATTCAAGTTCAGAAATTGAACTCCCTGTGAGCACAGCTGATGGATGTGAAGGTCGCCTTTAACCACCCACCGCCTAGCAAGCCAGACAACCAT